TTTTATCTTCTCCCCCCCCCCCCCGGTTTTTTTGTGAGTGTGTATGTGGGTGAATTAATTTGTTTATTTTTAGCTCTCACCAATGAGTGAGAACATGTGGTATTTTATTTCTTTTTCTCTGCCTGACTCGTTTCACTCAATATTATTCTCTCAAGGTCCATCCATGTTGTTGCAAATGGCAGAGCGAGCCCAAACCAAATTTCTACAAGTTATTTCTGCCTGACACCTGATAATCCCACATCTTTGCTTGTCTCTAAAACATTTTCGTACTATTTTGATTCAGGGAAGGAGGGATTGTAGCTTAGTAGGTAAGAGCATGAATTTGACCTGGGTTTAGTGCCTGCCTTTGTCACTTATTAAGCTCTGACCTTTGCTAAAACAGTCTTCATGAGCCTCATTTTCCTTATCGGTAAAGTGGGAAAAACTCGCACAGGGAGTGTGAAGATCAAAGTATGATTTTGAGCCACTTAGCACAGATCCTGGCACATAAACAGTGCGCAGTGAATGGTAGGTAGCTGCTGCTGTGACTATGATCTTTGGTTTAAATAAGATGAGACTTCTTGGGGAAACTCTGAAGTGCCTAAGAAGAAAAAAACGCACTTTTATCTGCCAAAAAAATAGTGTGCTGACAGCCAGGCCCGGAGCTGAATGGTGGCTTCTGGTGTGTTCTTATGGCACTACCTTGAAGCAGGTTGTCTTCCTCACAGACATGGCAGCGTGATAACCGTTCAGATCTAACAAGCAGAACTCTGAGATGCAAACTAAAAGAAAAGCCCACTGTAATTATTATTTTCTGTTTATAAAATGAGCACTTCTCTGGTGGAACTTTTAGAATATACTGAAAAATATAAAGTAGAGGGAAAAAATTATCAAAGAACCCCACCTATGGCTTGTGTTCTTGTGTGTTTCTTTCCTTCCAGTCTTTTTCTTTACATTTCTGTGCATGTACTTGTGTGTGTGTGTTTGTTTTTTCTTTCAAATTTGCAATTGTATGGCGTGTTCACTTTTTATGTCCAGATTCTTTTCACTTCTCTCTACCACTCCAGTGTGACCATTTTCTTGCATCGCTGTATTTTGTGATTTTCTTAAATAGCAGTGTAACATTTCAGTCTATGAGTGTGTCATCATTGATTCAACTGTTCCTGTATATTTGATTGTTTAAGTTGTTTGTAAGTTTTGATGTAAATAATGCTACAATGAATCTTCTTGTATGTTAGTACCAGATCAACCAACATGTAGATCATTTGGTGTTCCTTTAAAGATTTTCCATGTATTCACTTATCTTATCCTTGCAACAGCCCCCCGATGGAGATTACTGTTATTATCCCCATCTTCCAAAAGAGGAGACTGAGAGGCAGAAGTTAGGAGCTTCTCTGAGGTGACATGGGTAGTGAGAGGTGGGCCGTAGGCACATGGACCCAACAGTTTGCATTCTCCACTGCCTCCATGCCCTCAGCATCCTGGAATGTATGTTCATTTCCTTAACACTAATTCCTGAACGCGGAAGACAGCTCAAAGGCTCTGAACCAACCTTCAAGGTTCTTTATACATATGAGAACATTTCTGTCCCGATAATGATGTGCCAATTCACAGCCCCTCCAGCAGGAGTGGTGAAGTGTGTGAGTGCTCATTTTCCTGAATCTTTGCAAACAAAAAAAAGAAAAAATAATATAAATACTATTAACACCAATGTCGATTTGGGATGGGACATATTATTGTTTTAACTTGTATTTCTTTGTGACTCAGAATTTTAGAGCAGAAAAGGACATAAATATTCTTAGGTTCTGCCTCTGCAATTGACAGACAAGGAAGCCCTGGTGCCTGGAACTTGGGGGTACTAGGGTGGGGGGAGGCTGTGCAGCATGTTGCTATGACACAGAGGCCCAGTCAGTGCCAGAAACTGCCCCTTGTCCCTTTGATTTAGTTGGACCCACATGGTGGGTGAGACGGGCTCTAGAAGTAGAGAAACTGTTCTGAATCTCAGTTCTGCCCCAAGGTGGAAGGCCAGCAAGAAAAGTTGAGAAAACCCTGTGGACCTCTTTTTTTCCCCTCATTTACCTCCTTGGAGGTGTTAGGAGGAGTCAATGACATAATAATATGTGCTTATGTTTGTTGAGTTCACCATGCACCGGGGCCTGTGCTAAACACTTGGCGTATGTCATCTCATTTAATTCTCGCATCAATCCTAGGAGTGTGACACTGTTACTATCACTGTCTTGCAGATAAACACACATCTCTAAGTCTTGGCAGGTTGAAGTCATTTGCCCAGGTCACATGGGCAGAACTCCATGGAGTTCATCTTTGCACCCAGGTGGTGGGGTTGTAGCATCTTTGTGTGTACCTGTGTAAAGTGCTTAGCTCAGTGCCTGGTAAACAGTACACGTTCAGTATACGTTTGATGTTAGTGCTGGTTGAGGGACCTTCGAAGTGTGAGCACTTAATAGTGATGGAGCCTTGCAGCTTCGGGAAGCTCCTGGGTGATGACAGGAGGGAACATGAACTGGATCAAGATTCTTTGTATTGCCTAATTTTGAAACCTTTTTGCTTTAAATTAGTGAGGTTAAAAAGAAAAAAAGAGACCATTTGATATGGTTGGTGTGCTTCCTTTGAGAAGAAAAAAGAAATTGTTCTGTTTGAACTGGAATGTTTATAGAATAAAGGCAGCCAGGATTATTTGAAAAGTGTATTTTATGTATTTTAAAACAGCTGCCCAGGTCCTTTGTAAGCACACTTGATGCAGTAACATCTTGGGTAACTGGCCCAGTGTTAAGTGGGT